GATCATCAAGAATATTTTATCGTGCTAAGTGTGGTGATTCATACTTATGTTCTGTACTACTGGGAAGGTTGAGGCTGGTGGGGCCTTGGAGCTTGGAAATTCTGAGCTGCAGTAGGGTTAAAGCCAATTGGATATTTATACTAAGTTCTACGCTAACATAGTGAGCCCATAGGAGTAGGCAACTACTAGGTTGCCCTAAGGATGAGTGAACTAGCTTAGATCACAGAGCAGGTCAAGCAAAGCTTCTGTGCTGATCAGCAGTGGGGACAGACCTGTGAGTGACTGTTCCACTTCCAGCCTGGGTGGCATAGAGAGTCCAAGGGTTATGGTACTTTGTATAGTAGCAACAAAGTAGATAGATGCCTACCAATTGGCTGATGAGCAAGACTGTAAGGGAATATGACAGCTCTGAAAAAAAATATTGAATATGAAGAATATAGAAAAGTATAGGAAGACTTGTGAAGTTTTACAAAGTGAATCAAGTCAGTACCAGGAAAACAATATATGCAAATAACAACAGAGTCAATGGAAAGAATAATGACAGAAAACTGAAATGAAATTCTATGGTTATAATGACCAAGACTGGCTTCCAGAAAGATATATGAGAATATACCTCTCTGCCTTTTTGTTAGAAGTGAGTGAACATTGTATGTAATTGTAATCTTGGTTGATGTGTTGATTAGTTTTGCTGAGCAGGGGCTTTTGCCCCCCCCCCCCTCTTGTTAGAAGAGATGGCCCTTTTAGAATTGGAAGGGAAAGGGAAATATTGGGAAATACAAGTGATATAAAAATACAAGATGCCAATACAAAGATAAGTTTTAAAAATAGGTCGTACCAGAATTACTTTATTTCTTTTGTTAATAATGTTACTAAACTGATAGATCAGGTGAATGCTGTGTATTTGGTTTACCTAGATTTTGTCAAAATATCTCAAAGTTCTTGTGGAAAATATGGAGAAATACACTCTAGGTAACATGGATATTTGAATTTGGAAGTGGTTGGAAGGTTATTAGATGCTAGAGTAGTTGTTAATGTTGAATGTCAGTAGTCAGGAGGTCTCCAGTGTTGTGCCCCAGGAATCTGTGCTTGTTGTGTTTAATTTTTTTTTTTTTTTAGCACCTGGATAAATGTTAAACTGTCATGTTTATCACATTTTCAGATGACACAAAACTGGGAGAAGTAGCTAACACTGAATGACATTGCCAGGATCCAAAAAGATCTTAACATGCTTAGAGCAGGGACGGACAAACTATCCATGGGCCAAATCCTGACTGCTGCCTGTTTTTGTAAGGAAAGCCCTAAACTAAGAATGTTTTTTTTTTTTTTAATTTTTAAATGAAGTTTTGTTGTATTTTAAAAGTAAACACCATTAGGCAAGTGCATTGGTTTGAATGTGATAAGATGAATTTCAGTAGGGATAAAAGCAAGATCTTATACTTGGACTTTAAAAAAAAAAACCCAAACAGTTTCACAAACTCATGATGGGGAAGACATAATTAGATAGAAGTTTGAAAAAGATCTGGGGTTTGGTGGACTGCAAGCTCAATATATGAGTCACCAGTGTGATATGGTAGTCAGAAAAGCTCATGTGATCTTGAAGTGCATTTAGAGAGACAGCTTTCAGGAATAAGGGAGTGATAGTCCATGTGGTGAGGAAGCAGCTAGGTGGTACAGTGGAAAGAGTGCCAGGCCTGGAGTCAGGAAGACCTGAGTTCAAATCCAGCTTCAAACGCTTACTAGCCATGTGACCCTGCCATTTGCCAAATGAGCTGGAGAAGGAAATGGCAAACCAGTCCAATATCTTTGCCAAGAAAACCTCAAATGGGGTCACAAAGAGTCAGACACAGCTGAAATGACTGAACAACAACAATCTCTCTATGCTCTGTCCCGATTAGACCATATATAGAGTATTCTGTTCAGTTCTGGGTGGACATTGATAAGTCAGAGACTATTCAAAAGTGAAGAGCTTTGAGTTCATGACATTAGGATTTGTTGAAGAAATTGGGAATGAAGACCCAGAGGAATCATGGTAGCTATTCGCAAGTATTTGAATGGCCTTTATCAGGAAGAGGGTTGATTAGACTTTCGTTTCTGCCCAGAGTGCAGAAGTAGGAGTAATGGGTAGAAGAGGCAAAATTATTTCCTCACAGTAAAAGCTGTTGAGAAGTAGAAAAGGGCTGCTTTGAAAGGTGATGGTTTCCTTTTGCGGTTTTAAAGCAGAAATTGGATGACCACTTATCAGGTAATTATAGTCAGAATTTCTTTGGGGTTTGAGTTGAATTAGATTGGATTATATGGCTACTTAGATCCCTTCCAACTCTGAAATTCTATGATTCTGTCAGTTGGGCTGGCTTTGTAGCTTTCTAATGAATTAGAATCCAGAAGTTGCTAAAGTTCAGGTACTCCTGGAATGTCAAGGAATTGCAGGTTAATTGCACTCATTTCACACACCAGCAAGGTTATGTTTAAGATTCTGCAAGCTTGGCTTCAGCAATATGTGAATTGAGAATTACCAAAAGAGCAGGCTGGTTTTCAAAGAGGCAGAGGAACTAGAGACCAAATTGCCAACATGTGTTGGATTATGGAGAAAGCAAGGGAGTTCCAGAAAAACATCTACTCCTGTTTCCTTGATTACACTAAAGCCTTTGACTGCATGGACCACAACAAAATGTGGCAAGTCCACAAGGAGATGGGAGTACGGATCATCTTACTTGTTTCCTGAGGAACCTGTTTGTGGGCTGAGAAACAACAGTTAGAACCAAACATGGAAAAGCTGATTGGTTTAAGATCGGAAAAGGAGTAGGACAAGGCTATGTATTGTCCCCTTATTTATTTAACTTACATGCAGAGTACATCATGTGAAATGCCAGGGTGGATGAATCAGCCAGAATTAAAGTTGCTGGGAGAAATAGCAATCTTAGATATGCAGATGATACCACTCTGATGGCAATAAGTGACGAGGAATTTAGAAGCCTCTTGATGATTGTGAAAGAGGAGAGTATAAAAACTATCTTGAAGCTTAAAAAAAAAACAAAACAAAACTAAGATCTTGGCAACTGGTCCCGTCATTTCCTGGCAAATAGAGGGATAAGAAATGGAAGCAATGTCAGATTTTATATTCTTGGGCTCAGAGATAACTTCAGATGGCAACTGTAGCCATGAAATTAAAAGATGTTTGCTCCCTGGAAGGAAAGCTATGGCAAATCTGGATAGCATCCTAAAAAGCAGAGCCATCACCTTATTGACAGAGGTCTATAATCAAAACTGTGGTTTTTTCAGTAGTAATGCATGGCTGTGAGACTGTAAGGAAAGCTGAGCTCCACAGAATGGACAGTTTTGAATTGTGGTGCTGGAGAAGATTTTTGAGAGTCCTTGGACTGCAAGGAGATCAAACCAGTCAATGCTTAAAGAAATTAATTCTGGCTCTTCACTAGAAGGTCAAATACTGAAGCTGCAGCTTAAATACTTTAGCCTCATAATGAGAAGACAAGACTCACTGGAAAAGGCTGATTGAAGGCGAAAGGAAAATGGGGTGATAGAAGATGAGATGGATAGATATTGTCATGGAAACAATGAACATTAAGGACAGACTTTGAGAGATAGTGGAGGATAGAATGGCCTGGTGTGCTATGGTCCATGGGGTCACTAAGAGTTGGACATGACAGAACAACAACTCCTCCCCCCATTCTGGTATTCCTGGAACCACTCTAAAACCTGCCACATGCCTATATCACATATCTGCATTGTTATTTAAAGTTCTCAGCTATCTCAGTTCTCTGACTTTTTTTTTTAACAAGGTTTTGGTAGAAGGGCTAGAGCATTAGAACTTGTAATGATAGGCTGCTTTTCTTAAATTGTTTAAGGAGGGTTCTTTGGGCCTCCTCCCAGAATAATATGTTTAAATGCATAAAATAAAACATGAAGGATTGCAGAGGAACTAATTATCTTGAAATAAAATTATCAATTAAAAAAAAAGTTCACAGACTTTTTTTGGGGGGGAGGCAATCAGGGTTAAGTGGCTTGCCCGGGGTCACACAAATCTGAGGCCAGATTTGAACTCAGGTCTTCTAGACTCCAGGGCCAGTGCTCTATCCCCCAACAATGTTTTTCTTTAAATAATTATGATACAAGGAAAAGGACAGAATTTTAAATGATTTCTCAAAGCTAAATAGCAAAATAATCTACACAAGGTATAATAAAATGCTTTATAATAAATAATTTGGTGTGTCATACCATGATTTAACACATTGCTGTATTTTGGGAAATAGTATTTAACTTGATATAAAACTCATTACACAAAGTCAAAGAAAGAGACTCTACTCTACAGCACTACATAATATATCTACATTACTTAAGAATAGTCTAGCCAGTTAGTATCTCTTAATAATAATAGGACTTAAATCTCTTCTTAAGATTAGGAATCTGTGGGGCAACTAGGTGGCACAGTGCATAGAGCACTGACCCTGGAGTCAGGAGGACCTGAGTCAAATCTGATCTCAGACATTTGACATTTACTAGCTGTATGACCCTGGGCAAGTTGTTTAACCCCGTTGCCTAGCCAAAAAGAAAAAAAAAAACAAAAGAAAGAAAAACATTGTTTAGCCTTTAGTTTTTGAACATTTATGAACCATTCCAGTATTCTGACTCCTCAGAATTGCCATGTGAGTGTTCTCTCAGGAGAAGTTCTGGAATCTGAATCTGTTATTAAGATGTTGGTGATAAAGTGAAGTTTATATTTAGGACTTTAGTTTTTACCTTAAACTTCATTATTGTATTTAGTTGGTTGTTGTGAGTTGGTTATTAGCTGGTTATTTAGTTGGTTGTAGTGAGTTGGTTATTATATTTATGCACAAGTATGCATTTCAGTCTTGGCTAGATATCAAAAATCCTCTCTTGTATTTCTTACTGCTAAGAGAATTAACTAGGTATAGAAAAATCTAGATGTTTCTAAAACTCATGTACTTACAGTAAAGCAAGAAAAATATAATTTTTGTTTCTAGGTCATATAATATTAACAGGGTCGCAACACAAGCTGTAGAAGATGTTTTAAAGATTGGTAAGTACCACAGTGACTACTTTTTGCCAATTGTATTTTTAGAAAGAATTTTATTTAATTCCAGTGCTTTTCCTCTTCTAATAGCTAAACAGCAAGCAAACCTGGATCTTCCATTGAATAAGGAATTAGTTGAGAAAGGTTAGTGAAAAATAATGACAATCATTATAACTTAATTAGTTTGGCTGATGTTGGTTCTAAATAATACTATACTTAGTAGCCAGGAATGTCAACACTATAACATGTACTGGTCACTTGAGTGAAATCATGGATCCTTCAATGTGTGTACTTTTTTCATTAATGGACATTTCAGTTTTCCCACCCCTTCCTCAATCCCTTTCACCTTGTCCCCTCCCACTACAGCCTTCCCTTCTCCATTGTGCACATTAAAAAAAACAAAAAAAAAATAAAAAATAAAGTCCCTATATTAGCTATGTCTGAAAATATGCCTCTTTCTGTATTTTAAGTTCATGACCATTCTGTCAGGAGATAAGTGACGTTTCATATTCATTCTTTGTGGTTTATCATTGTCCTAAAGTCTTTCAAAGTTTTTTTACACAGCAGTTCTCAAACTTTCTGGCCTCAGAACTCCTTTGCACTCTTAAAACTATTAAAGAGTGCTCTGGTGCCTCATCTGGTCCGTGTCCACATCCTTCCTGGCATGCAGCCTCCTGAGTGCCCACCGACATGTCGTCACCCTGGATAGCGATTTGTGACTTCTGTACAAGAGCCCCATAGAGGGCAGCTACAGCAAATAGCCATTGCGCTGAGTGAGGATGAGAATACTAAGTCAAAGTGCCAAAGACAGAATGTTGGAGGAGCTAACCAATCTTATCTGGACCATCTGGAATGCCCTGAAAATTCAGGATGTCACTAAATGTCTTGAGGGATTTGAGTTCCTGGGAAAGGCACTTAGAAAGGCCATGAGCATTGTGGACAAAGAGGATGTCCCCTAATTATACATCCACATCCTAGCTGATCTGGAGGACTATCTCAGTGAGCTGTGGGAGCACATGGAGGGAAAGAAGATGAACAGGAGTAATGTAAAGGCTCTGAGCACCTTGCATCAGAAGATTTGTAAATATAATCAGGATTACAAAGTCCAGATCACCAACTATAAGCGGAACCCTGAGCAGTCTGTGGATGAGGATGCTTAGAAAAATGAGGATTCAAAAAATTCTTCCCCTTCAGATGATGAGGATGATCTCAGTGTGACAAATTTTCTGAAGAAGTCTGAGGCACCATTCAGAGAAGTCGCACGCTCCTCAAGAAGATGGAGGATGAAGAAAACAATTTGGATGATGATAAAGACTGGGGTTCAGATTCCCTTTCCTCGGACTCTGATTCAGGAGGATGATGGAAAAGATACTTTGTTGGTTTCCAGATTCCTTAGAAAAGAGCACCACAGTTAAAAAGACTGCAGAAAAGAAGTGATAGAACAAAGCCAAGAAAAAGCATGACTCGGACATCCAAGTACCTAGATGAGGAGGAGGATATTGAAGGTGAGGATTGAGAGAGGGTTTGAGGAGGGACACCACTTGTCAAGCCTAAAATGTTAGCCAGGGGAATAGTGATTACCCATGCAATGGTAGTCAAGAAGTTGAATGAGCTCTTAGAAGAAAGGAACTGGTTTGGGAGCCCAGATTGAGCTGCTGCCACTGATGGTTCAAATCTCCGCAGAAAATAATCTACAGGAAGGAGTGATTAAGATCAAATTCAATATCATTACTTGCCTCTATAACTACAACTTTTAACATGCCCACATACATGAAGCCAGAGATGTGGCAGAAGTGCTTAGATTGCATCAGTGACTTGATAGACTTCTTGTTTGCAAATCCTCACATCTTTGTTGGATAGAAAATCCTGGGAGAAAATAAGAACCTATCTAACTTTGAGCAGCCATTTTGTGGTTGAAGTTGTATCCCGACTCTGGTTACCAAGATCATGCCGAACACAAATCCTCATTCCCAAGAATAGGTGGAGCATCTCAAGGATGAGGCCCATGTCTGTGCCATCATTGACCATGTTCAGTGCTAACTGCAGAAAAAAGGAATGACTAAGATCTGCCATATCTACTTCATCGTGTGCTCCATACCTACTGCAAGTTTGACAGCAAGACCCATCACTGGCAGCTGGCTTCCATGAAGGGTCCTCAAAGTCAGAGTAAGAACAGGCTGAAAATTAGAGGGAGGATTCAGGTGTGCAAGTACATATATACCAAAGATTAGACTGAATTCGGACTTGTGCAGTCCTCTGCCACATCTACCAACATGTGCTTCATTCTCGCTAGTAACCACCCACAGGACAAAATTCAGCCCTCAGATCTGCTTGTGCAGATCCTTTATCTAACCATGGTGCTGTTGGGTATCTGTGTTTTCTGCCAGGGCTTAACCAAGGATGCACACATTGCCCTTCTGGATATTTCAGTCTGGTGGTCATGCTGAGGAGCTGGTGGGGCAGGGCAGAAACCAGGAGCAGGAGAAGGTGGAGTATTGATGCCAAGTTTCCCTCTACTTGTCTATCAACCTGGAGCTGCTTGAATGTGTCTATTTGGTATCTGCCATGCTTCTGCACATCTCATATATAGTAGCCCATGAAAGAGAAGCCTGGAGGCATATGGTCAGCAAACAGTTCCACCACCAGCTGTGGGTGGGTGAGCAGCAGCCCTTACTCGGTCCACTGAGATAAAAATGAGGGAACATATAGTACAAGCTTCTAAAGCAGTGAAGTTGGGTGACTAGAAGAGTTGGTCACAGCTTAATCATTAATGAGAAGATGAAAAAGAAAGTCTGGGATTTGTTCCCTGAGGCCAACAAAGCCCATACTATGCTGGTTAGAAAGATCCAGGAAGAGTCACTGCATACCTGTCTTTTCCCCTATAGCGGTGTCTACAACTCTATTAGCATGGACATAGTGTCTGAAATGTTCCAGTTGGATCTGCCCACTGTTCACTCCATAATCAGCAAAATGATCATCAGTGAGGAGTTTATGGCTTCTTAGACTAGCCAGCACAGACAATGATGATGCACTGCACAGAGCCCATAGCCCGACAGAACCTGGCCCTGCAGCTGGCAGAAAAGCCGGGCAACTTGATGGAAAACAATGAGTGTCTTCAGTACCTAATGAGATTATAAGAGACCAGAAAGATGGCTATTGGAAAAAATGAGGGGAAGATACATGCATTGAGGGGGTTACTGCCAGCAGTTACCACCTTCCAAATGACTTCCCCAGGGGATGCACCTTTTGAAATGTAGCATTCATCCAGAGTAGAGGTTCCCAAACTTATTTGGCTTACCACCCCCCTTTCAAAAATAATTACTCAGCCACCCCCCCTGGGGTTTGGTTAGGTTAACCCTTGTCTTTATTCAGTGCCCCCCCCCCAGTTGCACTCGAGGCTATTACTGTGCTCCTGGATTGTTCTAGCACATTTCACCACCACCCCCCACCCCAGGGGAATCCCCACTTTGGGAACTTGAGATCCAGAGTAATTAAAAGTCTATTTTGTGTTGGGGGAAAAATTATTGGATACCTCCCAAAGAACATTTGTTTGTGTGGGTTCTGTCTACCAGTATTTACCATATTAGAACTTAAAATATCCTATTATTATAAAAATAAATTTGAACTCATGGACCTCAAAGGGTGTCTGGACAGCATTTTGAAATGCTCTGTATTTTTATCATTGTGTAAATTTTTCCCATAGTTATGTTCACTTTGCTCTGTATCAGTTCATAAAGATCTTTTCAGTTTTCTTTGAAATTGTTCATTCCATTATTTTTTATATTACAATAATCTCGTTATATTCTTATACCACAATTTGTTTAGTTATTCCCCAATACAAGGACATCCCCTTAATTTTTAGCTACTATAAAAAGAGCTACTGTATTTTTTATATATTATTGAAACTTATTATGCTTACTTTTATTTATCTGTTTTCAGTAACAAATGAGTATAATGAATCTTTATTGTATAGTCCGGAAGAGCCAAAGATGCTTTTCAGCATTCGAGAACCTATAGCAAATCGCATATTCTCAAGTAGTCGTCAGCGTTGTTTCTCTTCAAAGTAAGTTTTGTAAGGTTTCGCTAGTGACTGTTTTGTTCCCTTTTAAGTACTAATGTGAATTGCTTTTCATTAAATTCACTCATCTGTAGTTAACATAGTGGAAAAACAACCTATTGAACAAATGTGGTAGTAAGAGATTGGCTTTAATGATACTCCGTTCAATCCTATTCTGAACCGGTAGATGTGTCAAAGAAACTTTCTGGTTTATATGTTATTTGGAGATGTTGGGTCTTTCACTTGGGTAGTTCTGGTTTTGTTTTGTTAATCTAACAAGGTAATGGGAAGGTAAAAACAGATCAATATATTGAGAAAAATTTGAATAGAAGGTAATACCTTACTTCTTACAGAAATTTAATTCTACTTAAAGTAGATTAAAGTAATTGAATTCAGTGATTTCAGCTTTTCTCTCATTGGACAACAGTAGTAAAAATAACTTGACGTTTCTTATAAATTTATTTTAGAGTTCAAAAGAGAAATTAGTGCCTTGTTTTAGAAACTGTGATTTCTGCCTTAGCTTTCTCAGATTGGAAAAAGGAAGCCTTAGTTAAAAGAAAATTTCAACTATTTGACAAGTCATGCTTTTCTTTTCAATTTAATTTAGTTAGTATTTTATTTTTCCCCAGTTACATGTAAAAACAATTTTAACATTCATTTTTAAAGCTTTTGAGTTCCAGATTCTCTCCCTTCCTCCATCTCCACCCCTTCATTGAGAAGTCAAGCAATTTGATATGGGTTATACATGGGTAGTCATGCAACACATTTCCATAATAGTCATTGTGAAAGAAAATATAGGCAGAAAAACCTCAAGAAAAATAAAGTTTTTAAAAAATATGCTTCAATCTGTATTCAGATACCATCAGTTCTTTGTCTGGGGATAGATAGCATCTTTCATCTTAAGTCTTTCAGAGTTGGATTGTTGTATTGCTGAGAATACTAAGTCATTCACAGCTGATCATCTTACAATATTGCTGTTACTCTGTACACAGTACATTTCACTTTGCATCATATGTAAGTCCAGGTCTTTTGAGAGCATTCTGCTCATTTCTAATAATACAATAGTATTTCATCATAATCACATACCATAATTTGTTCAGCCATTTCCCCAGTTGATGGGCATTCCCTCAATTTCTAATTCTTTGCTCCCAGAAAAGAACTACTATAAATATTTTTGTACATATTGGTCCTTTTCCTTTTTGTTTTTTATCTCTTGGAATACAGACCTAGTGGTGGTATTACTAGGTCAAAGGATATCCATGGTTTTATAGTCCTTCGGGCAAAGTACCAAATTGCTCTACACAATGGTTGAATCAGTTCACAACTCCACCAATAGTGCATTAATACATTTCATTTTTTCCTACATCCCTCCAACATTTGTCATTTTATTTTCTGTCCTATTAGCCAATGTAATAGGTATGAGGTCATGTCTTAGAATTGTTTTAATTTGCACTTCTCCAATCAGTAGTGAGTTAATATGGCTATAAATAGCTTTGATTACTTCATCTGAAAACTGATCATATCTTTTGATCATTTATCAATTGGAGAATGGCTCTAATTTTTATAAAATTTACTCAGTTCTCTGTATGTTTGAGACATTAGGCCTTTATCAGAGAAACTTGCTTCAAATTTTTTTCACAGTTACTATTCCTAACTGTACTTCCCTCCATCCTATTCCTCCCTGCCCCTTGTATATTCTGTTCTCTCTCTCTCTCCTTTCACCCTGTCCCTTCTCAAAAGTGTTTTACTTTTGGCTGTTCCCTCCTCCCCAAAAGTCATGCTTTTTTAGTTAATTTCCTATGTTTGTCTGTGAAGAAATTCCGTAATAATACAGACCAGCTACTGTTCTACAAATAATATTCTTAAGTGCGACATTTAACATTGAGAGGTTAAGTTCCTTGCTCAAGGCCACATAGCCACTATGTGTCAGAGATAGGAATTTTTTTTTTGCTTTCTGGTGAGGCAGTTGGGGTTAAGTGACTTGCCCAGGGTCATACAGGTAGGAAGTGTCAGTGTCTGAGGTCGAATTTGAACTTAGGTCCTCCTGACCCCAAGGCCAGAGCTTTATCCACTGTGTCACCTTGCTGCCCCCGAGATAGGAATTTAATTTACATGTTCCTGACTGTGGTCTGCTACACCACATTGCCTCTCACCATTTCCTTATTGAGAAAAGTTTAGCTTTAAACTTCTGTTTAGACTTTGTAAGTTTTCCTTATATGTACAGGTTTTCAGGTCAATAAAAACATTTTCATTTACAATTCATTGTAGTCATTTGTGAGTTAATTTTGGTAGGGTATATTTTAAACTCATGATGTTGCTATCAGTAAGCATGAACAATGCAGTATTCTTTAAGATACTGATTCTTTTTCATGAAAACTCATTTTACTTTTGCAAGTATCTTAAGTTTTATTCATTCATTAATAAAACATATCCACCAAACATACTGTGAACTTGGTGAGTTCATCCAAATTTATATACCTTGAAAAATTAATTTGGAGGTTTGAGGTTAGCAAAGTTATAATTATATTTGATCCACATGGACTTCTTAATATTTCAAAGATGACCAAACTGCTCAAATGCTAGGGTTTTTCATTTACTTACTATTTTGTGGGAAATTATTCCTAATGTTAACAATAATGTGTTTCTTCTTTAATTTGCAGGGTTTGTGTTCGTTCTCGTTGTTGGGATGCCTGTATGGTTATAGATGGAGGAACTTCTTTTGAGTTTAATGATGGAGCAATAGCTTCAATAATGATCAATAGAGATGATGCACTTCGAACTGTGCTACTAGAGCAATGAAGGACTTACTCACTGGACAATAAATTCTGATCACCCCAAGAAAAATATTTTAATTGCAGAGACAGACTGCATGTCATAGCACTGCATTTTAAAAAATTGTTGATGACTGTTCCTTAAAATTTGGATACACAGCCAACTCTGAAATTTGGGAGATCTTGAGAGAACCTCTGTGGTTGAGAAAGCTTGAGAAAAAGTATTGCCTAAGAAAATGGATGGACTAAAATCACATGGAGATCTTAGAATTGGTGCCAGCTGTATAACCTACAGATGTTTTTAAGTGATAGTACCTTTAAATTTAAAGAGGTAGGTTCAAAGAAAAGATTAAATGTATATTAAATTAACTATAATAGGGTCCCTTCACCTCTATCCTTATCCCCACTCCCTCCAATAGTATTCGAGGATTGTTCAAACCAAACATACTTACCACTCATGAACATTTTTTTTTTACAGAGAAACAACTTGAATGTTAAGATTTATTGTTCTGATGATGATTATAGATAATTTTTATAAATCCTGACACTGACCTGTTTGAAATAGGTTTTTTATATGTACTTTTAAGAATTTTATAATTTCAGAACATGGTGATGATAATGCCTTATTTTTTTTATCTTCAGTGATTTAAGGCCAATGTGAAATTTAAGCCTTTTTCCTTTTCTGTCCCACATTTCCTCTCATCTTTTAAAAACTTTACAAGAACCCTTTCACTTACATCTTGATTCAGGTCATGCTGTTCACTTGTGGTTGAAATGCATTTATCTGGAGAAAATCATGCTGCTATTATAAACTTTCTAACTGCTCAAAAATTGTCTTGATACTGAATCAAAGACTTTTAAATATGTGATCATTGGAGTAGGTAATCTCTAAGGTTCCTTTCAGTTCTACAATTCCATGATGATGTGATAATAAAATGAAGTTATATCTGCATAATCTGAATTTACTTTAACCTTAAGAAAAACCATTTACTGTTTGAATCTACTGGTTGAGTACAGTATCTGAAAGAAAGTCAACATAAAAATTAATGAAATATTTGTGTTCATTCTATTTTGAATGCCTTGGTTATAGTTTTATTATTTTCTAGAGTTTTCATCTGATTTACTGCAAGCTTCCCTAGCTGCATTGATGTGTATGTTATGACTGCTTTTTTTCTTACATTATGAATTAGATGAAAATTTGTGAATAAAAATACAAGAAAATCTCTTTAGTTTCCATCTCATTAGCAAGTTGCCTTGTAATTTTCTCCCAATACTCCCACTACTGCTTATACACTATATTCATGTGAAAAGTTTCATTGAAAACTTTTTTGTAGTGATAAGAAGTAAAATAATTTGTGAATGATAAGAACAATAATTAAATACATAAGTGAACTAAAATGTTTTGCCATGCAATATAATGAATTTATCATGTTGCTTTTTCTCACCAAGTTGCAAACTACTTATAAGTCTTCAGAGGGAGTGCACTATGTAACATAATGAGAATGATGAAATTAAGATAGCATTGTCTGTATTAGATAGATAATGTCAATTTTATTTTACTATTATTTTTCATCTAAGAAAAACACTATTTTAGACCTGATTTGTTTAAGAATGAGTTCAAGCCTTTAGTTTTCTGTTGATTTTGTTAGTTATTTTTAAAATTTTGAAGCAAGCACTTTGCTCAAATAGAAATTAATGGTTCTACCATGTAAACATTTCTTCACTCTGAAATATCTTGGTGACCAAATAATGTATACAACTTTTAAAATAATTAAATTTATTACTATTTTTGTCATCTGTTGAACAGGAATGTAAAATTTAAATTCATATTACTTTAATCATGCATTCTACTGTGCCAGTATATAAGGGTATCATGTTAGTGATCTTAGGAATATGGCTCTTCCCTAAGTGCAGGCACCCCATCTAATGGTAATTTTTGTTCAAAGTGCTACATATTAATATTGGGTTCCTTCTGCTGATTTTACAGTAATTAACGAATGCAACAACTAAAAGAACAGGAAAAAGTGAGCCCATATATTTGTGTATATGCATACATATATATGCATATGTATGTATATGTGTATTTGTACACATACATATATAAATATAGATATATAGAACTAGGGTTCTGTAAAGTGAGAGGACTTTTTTTTTAACTGTTTTAAGGAAGACAAGGCAAAACAGCTTTTAAAAATACATCTTCATAAACAGGTAACTGGCTGAAAGATCAAATGGACATTTTTACTGACACTAATAAAAGGATATTAGGGAGAATGATGAACATTTTCCTTAAAGATCTTTTTATCATCATTTTATGATGGTTTAGCAAATGCTTAAGTTCTGACTCCATACTTGAAAAATAAAACTTAGGAAAAAATGTTCATGACATACTTTCTTACATATTGATTTGATATTTTGAAAAGTAATGACATGATCTCAGAAGTTGTCACTTTTTTCATACCATTAGAGTGTAAGCTCCTTAAGGGCAGTGAATTATGTCTTTTGCTTTTAATATGACACAGCGAATAATCACATATTGACTCATTCTACCAGTACAGAAACTCTCAGTCTTGGCACATGTTTTTGCCAAACTGAAACTTGACATCCTTTGCTTTTATGGGGGGAAAAAAAAAGACTATGGAGTGTTGGTAATTGAGTGTGTATTAAATACAAAATGATACAGTATTTGCCTAAGTATTTTCATAATTTTTATGTTTCAAATAGATTTCTCATCACCAGTTTTTAACATTGATGGCTACATTTGGATAAAATTAACCCAAGCCTTTTTATTCTTGTTACTAGCCTCATTTATTTCATAAAATCTCTTACCCAGAGCATCTTGTTTGAAAAGTAAGTTCTTTGTAAAAAAAAATTATTTTGATTTTTCTGACACGTAGGCAGCCCAACTTTGAAAATATGTATTATACTTATCAGCATGTAGATTATCCACTTTATCTCATTCTTCTGGGCTGGTGTGTGTGACCAAGGAATGAAATTATTTTTAATATTAAGCCAAAGTAGGCAACCTTTCATCATCAGAAAGAAACATTCTAAAAGTCTTAATATTGATGGATCTTTACCCACTTTTCACAATAATGCTTTTGAGAACTGACCATTTCCGTTTAGCTTTTATTGCACACTTGTGATAGTTGATTTGCAAACTACAAAAGCAGTCTATGATGTGATAATTTCATGTGGGACTTAAGGAAGATTGTCTTCTGCTTTTAAGTTAGATCACACTGTAGGAATTAGGGCCATAAATTATCTAAACAAGTGAATATAGCATAAGGTAGTATGTAAGTGCGATAGGCATTCAAAGGAGGGAGAGATTATTACTAGCTGGAGTGAACAAGAATTCAACCAGGCACTTGTTTTAAGTCCCTACTATGTGAAAGGGACTAGGGATATACATATTAAAATAAAAATTTTCACTTTCAATGAGCTGACATTCTAAGAAGGGAAGGAAGAATGAATGAATGGGAAAAGCATGTATTAAACAGTATATCCCAAAGCACTGTACTAAGCCCTGTAGATACAGATGAAAACATAGCTACAGCCATTGTTCTCAAGGCACTCACATTCTGATGGGGTGTAAATGACCTAAGGTTTCAGCTGCATGTCAGATAGAAAATTCCCACTGTCCTAAGTGTGCAAAACAGATGGTAATACATCATCAGTAATGTTTCCTGATGAAGATCTTATTGTTTCTGATTTGAACAATGTAACGGTGCCAATCATTTTGGTGTCAACACAGTGTCCTGGGAGTGGAAGATGGTGCTTGAACTATCTTAAAAAGAAGAGAGGAATTCTATGAGATGGAGGTGAAGAGCGACTTAATTCCAATTATGAGGGCCATCTAGTTACAAAGGCAAGGGGACAGGAGGTGGAGTATTATTTGTGAGGCACAGAAAGGCCAGTATGACTGACGGTAGATTTTTTGTAGGGGAGCAGTGTGGTAAGCAGACTGGAAAGTAAGAAAAGGACCCATTTGTGAAGGGCTTGAAAAGTTGAAGAAATTTGTATTTATCTGAGAACCATCAGGGAGCCACTGAAGTTTAATGCATAGAGTAGTCACATCGTGTAGAGGATGGATTGAAGTTGGGAAAGATTTGAATCAGGGAGAAAAAAAATAGATTGTTGCCATAGCTGAAGTGAGAGATGTGGAGGGCCTAAATGAAGTAAGGCGACAGCTGTATGACCAGGGAGAAAGAAGAGATACTGTGGAGGTAGAAATGGCAAGATTTAGCACCTGATGGATACGTGAGGTAAGGAGGATAATAACCCTAAGGTTACAGATTTGAGAGATTGGAAGAATGATGGGGGATGGCTTTCACAGAAATCAGAAAGGGACAAGTGGATTCTTGGGAAAAGATAATGAGTTTGAATTTGAACATACTAAATTTGAGATATCTCTGAGACATCAAATAGACAATTGATAATGCAGGACTAACACTCAGGAGAAACTGGCCTTGGCTATAGATCTGAGTTACCTGTATATAGAGAATTAAACCCAAAGGAGCCGATGAAGTCACTAAGAGGATCCAGGAGTCTTGGGAAATAACCCATAGGAGGCATAATGGATGATGAACCAACACAAGACTGGGGAACAGTTAGGTAAGGGGAGGACCTGTGTCAGGAATTAGAAAAACTGGAGCAGCTAGGTGGCGCAGTGGAGTCAGGAGGACCTGAGTTCGAATCCAGCCTCAGACACTTGACACTAGCTGCGTGACCCTGGGCAAGTCACTTAACCCTAATTGCCTCACCAAAAAATATATATACATATATCCAGGAGGGAGAGAATGGCAAACAGTGCTGAATGCAGCAGATAAGGATGAGGATAGAGATAAGGATCCTTAGGAATGGCTGAAAGGATTTAAACAGACCTTCAAAGTTGGTTATTATCTAAAGGATGACTGGGTGAGTGTGGGGCTGGGGAAAGGGCAAAGTATACACAAAGGCCTAGACATATAAAAGGAAATAGTGACTAAACTACCTTGAATCAGAGGAAGAATAGAATCTCTAGCTTGGATTTCAGCATAATTTGACAGTCTTAAGTATCTTTATGAATGAGATGGAGATGCAAGCTAAATCATATATATTAAGTGAATTTAGACTGGTTCAAAGATCAAAAGCAGAGTGATAAATTAATGGGTTAATGTGAACTTGAAGGTCTCTTATAATGCCCCAGGAATCTGCCCCTGACCCTAGTGTGTGGTTGTTTTTTTCTTTTGTCTGTGATTTGAAGATGTCCATGACAGGCTTGTCAGAGTGTGAAATGAGGTTATGTAGGATGGTTTAAATGGAAAACATTTAAGATAAAAAAAAAATCTTGATATAGCTTATCAATAGACTGAATTTATTAAGATGAAAAGTAATAGACATAAATTAAAATTATGCAAAAGTTTACTACACAAGGATGGGGGTGGAATGCCCAAACAACAGTTGATAGGGAAGAATCTGGGAGTTTTTGTAGACCATAAGCTCAAAATAAGTCAGCATTGTGACATGGCAGCCAAAAAAAGCTAGTGTGTTTTTTCTAGGGCATCGAGAATCAGTGCTAAATGAGAGGTGACGGCTTTCTTTCTTACATTCTGGTCAAAGAACATCTGGAGTACTGGATTCAGTTCCAGGTGCCATATATCAGGAAGCACACTGACAAGATGAGCTTGTCCTGGAGGGCAGCCAGGATGGTAAGAGGACATTTATTTCCAGACTCCACTGCTGACTCCTCTCCACAAGATTTTATCTACCTTCACACACCCCTTATCTGTGCCCGGACCACAGTAAGCACTTAGTAAATGCTTATTGACTAACTGGAAGCCATGCCATATGAAGGGGAACTGAAGAAAAAGGATATTCATTCTGGGGAAAAATGAGATGATAGCTATATTTGGGTAATTGCAGGGGTATCCTGAAGAAGAGGGGCTAGTTTTTTTTTTTTTTTGCTAGTCCACAGAAGATAAAACTAGATTGACAATGAAGGAAAATTTAGGCTTGATGTAGGGGGAAAATGCTTCCAAAATAATGGTCTGCCTTAGGTAATGGGTTTCCCCCTCACTGGCAGTTTTAAAATAGTCAAGACTGCAAGACCCTGTCAACATCACAGAATGGTATAAGTGGTATAGGGTAGACCCTGAGGAAACTTACAACTCTGCTTCTGATTGTAGTAGAAAATTCACAGAAGGGGTACTTGAAACATGTAGGTGGAACATTATGTAAGAACATAATTTGGTTGTCTTGAATGCCTGAATGAGGTGTTGGCTCCAGTCTTTTAGGAAGCAGTTCAACCAATGAAGATTTCATTATCTTATGAAAAGAAAAATATTTTAAGTATAGTCTAGAAGCTGTGTAGAGGATGGGATGGACAGAAAGAGGCAGAGAGACCTGTTGGGACCATGTGGCAAACAAGTATGATGGCTAGGTGCATCTATTCTGTGGCAATCTCCTCAGGGGGAAGCCTGTACATAATACAAAATAGGTTGAATGTTGGTGGAAGAATTAAACCCAACATATCAGAAAGTATAATGTGGACTTGGTAGTATGGTGGAAGCGTCGTTAACACAGAGGCGTTTTCGTTGTTTTTGCATTCTTAGGACTTGGCACAGTCCCATGCACCTAGCAGGTTCTTACTAAATTGCTGGATTGAATTAAATTAGAAAAAATAACAGGAGAGGAGACCATACTCTGTCATCGCTACCTTCGACTTCCTACTTTTAAGTATGGACAGTCCCAAGATTCGGAGTAGAAACTTTGATAGAAAAAGTGAGAATTAGAACAAGACAGGGCTAGATTTGGAGTTCTCCAGTTGGGTTAGGGAATGTCTACTGAGATATATCTTAGTTCTGGGGAGCTTAGGGGTCTAGGTGGAGAGAAAATTCACCAGGCCAGATGTTCTTATGTAGAGTCTGAATTTAAAAAAAAAAAATTTGTGTAACTGCTTCAGTATAATTGGTTTTGTTTGTATTTTGTTCTTAAAAACTTAATTCTGAGGAGGGATCCATAGACTCCACTAGACTTATCAGAGGGATCTGTGACACAGAAAGGGTTAACTCTTAAATATTAGTTTTTGCCCATCACTCTAGCCCAAGGATTCTTAACCTTCACCTTATAATGGACCCATTTAGCAATCTGGTGAATCCTATGGGCCTCTTCTCAGAATGTTTTTAAATGTATAAAATAAAATACACAGGATTACAAAATAAAGCAATTATATCAAAATAAAGAAGTGAGTTCCCTCCCTCTTCCCACCCAATGAAACAGCTAGGGTGGCCTAATGGATAGAGCACTGGGCCTGAAGTCAGGACGACTCGAATTCAGATCCAAACTTGGACACTTACCAGCTGTGTGACCCTGGAAAAGTCACCACCTCTGCCTCAGTTTCCTCAACTATAAAATAGTGATGATAATAATAGCACCTGCTTCATAGAGCTGTGAGGATCAAATGATATATTTGTAAAATGCCTGGCACATAGTAGCTATTTAATAAATGTTTGTTGCAAGCCTCAATAAAGTCTTCAGCCTTCTTCTAGACTCAAGGAAGATCATTAGGAGAGACTTTCAGAGTTTTTTCCTAGTTCCCAAGTGCAAAGGGAAGACTATAACCCTGTATACCAGGGCAATCCCCCAAAATTAAATCTGTTGATTTAAAAGTGAGGATTCTAGACAGAATCTTCTGTGTAGTAATGGCAACAGTTTTTGGCAAGATGGTTAGGGTAGAGTCTAAGTATGAGCAAAGTACGCGTTTAAGTTCAATCCATTAAACTCTTGGTACCATTTTTAAAGTGACAGTATATTACTATTGCATTAAGTTTACTCATATGCTGCCCTTGTTGCTTTTCACAAAGTTGGGCTTAAATGCATAAAGGACGAGTCATTTGTATAAATTTTTTTCCTTTTAATTAAAAACATATAAAAGTAGACATCGTGAAGGTCACTAAAATCTTGGCAAGATAGCTTATATCTGGAATTGAGTGCTGAAGAGGATGTGTATCCAAAGGTACAAATCCCACCAGACCCACCCTATGTCTCTTTAATGGCTATTATGTAAACAACATTTCAAGGTGTAGTTACCATTTCGCGACAGCACGTGTAACAGGCTGGCAACAGTTAATCTCTGTATAACACTGGGCCAAAGTGTTTTCTCCAGCAGTCTTAACAGATGACAGTGTCCTTAGTGGAAATGCAGTTCAATCTACGGCAGGCTTACCATATTAGTTCCATCTTGATTTTTTTTTTTAAGTCAGTCACAGAAACAAAATAAAATTGGTATTCTTTGATCAATGGGAAGACGTGAAGTGATTTGTTGACCTAGTTTTTAAGAGTATGAATAATTTTTTTTCTGGGTGCTCCATCAGTTCTAAAAAGTCAAAGCTGCTCCCCAACAGGTAAAATCAATGCTTTTAAGTTGGGGTTCCTGCTCCCAGACTGCCCAAAGTCAAGAAATTGCTCCTCTTTCACAAGAGTGCTGAAGTTTCATGGTGCTTCCTAGTAATTGTAGACCCCAGAGCTCTTTCAAATGGGGCATTCCAAACAAAAGATGCAAAGATTTTTTATTTCTTCTTATTCAGTATTTGATTCTAAGAAAAATCAAAATAGCCCCTTCTAGACCTCAGCTATAAGGAAGAACAGGGAACAAGGCCAAATTCCACCTAGCACCTAAAACAGAAATTGGTTTGTGAAACATAAACCATCAGAAGCAAAAGCACCTTCAGTATAAAAAAGTGAACAAGGCAGCAAGCCTTTACCAATGGTAAGATACGTGGTCATGATGTGAAAAAATGTTATAAAAAAGCAAACAAACACCACCATAATTACATCCCCACAGCTAGTTTCAGAACCTAGAAAAAACTACCTATGAATCACCGTAAAGAAACGTTGTCTAATTAGTCCAAGAAGACCTCAAGCTCATCAGTCACAGAAACCAGCTGTCATTTGGCTTGCTCTGCCTTCAAAGGTTCCTAAGCATTTTTGGTATGCATATATCACCAAGTGGAAATGTACTTTACTCTTTGCCCCAACCCTTGGGCTAAAGACAACACTTTTTTCCAGGATCTTAAAATGCTTTTGTGGGGTCTCCCTTCCCATGATCCTTATTACCTCAAGGTTCAGTGATTGGTACTCAAAGACAGAGTTTGGACTTTTTCCCCCCAAGCTCTATTTGTGCTCTGTTCAGAAAATGAGTGATTTGGGGTTCTTCCAATCTGTTCTATGTAAGGCAAGACAGAGAAAAAGAAAAAGCATGTATGATTACTGAAACAGTTTCTATAAAATTATTCACTTGAGCACTGGCTGCATTCTGAAGATTTTTAGAAGAGGGAATGTCAGAGAGGTGGTATGAAGTACTTACCTTGAACCACCTTTTAATAATAAGTACAGGTTTACTGCCTTAAACTCATAAATAATTGAAATGTCATGGCTCTCCAAGCAGGCCTTTAAAGGGCATTGACAAAAGTTGTGTTCCCAGTGCAAAACACTCATTCCTAAATTTTTATGAGTTAGTGACAGGAAACAGTTCTTTCTCAAGTGATCCTCAAGCCAAAACAGTTATAAGGTGGAAGGTGTAACTCATCAGAAGAAAAATGGTTGAGGGACTCCAAGTACAGGGGCCTTTTTGTCTGCTCTTCTGTGAAGTCACTTTGTAATGAGGACATCAGTGGCTATTTGGATTGGGCATCATCAGGCGGCACCTGATGCCCCAGATCTCTGGGTTCTTTTTGCTGCCCACTGTTGGCCTGGCAATGCTAGTGAAGTGAGAACAGTTGATCTTCAGATGAGGGAGTGCTTCCTTTAGCACAGGAAGGGAATTTTCTGTTACAATTCCAAAAACCTGTAGTGTCTTCAGTGAGGGGATATCTCCAAGTTCACTGGAAAGGGAGACATATACAACTTTTAGACCAGCTAATCTGCACTGTATAGTTTCTCCACCAAATAACACAACAGGTTTCTACATGATCTATCACAACCCCATGTCAACCCAAGAAATATGGGGGAAAAAAAGAATAATACAAAAACAGTAGCAAACTTGTCACCTTGCACTATCACTTGAACAGAACAATCCCTTTGTGAATGTGTGATTTGTTGCTTTGGAATTTGTTGCTTTTGGAATTGTGGACAATTCCACAAAGACAGATCCAATAAAAAATGTTTGGAAGACATGAAAATTAGAAGAAGGCCATCATTATATCTAGCTCACCTCTCCAGGTTTAAGAGTATAAAGCAAAACAAGCTAAGATCCTACATGTTCATGTAATTATCTAGTGATTCCTATTCTCTCCCTCCAAATAACATATGCTTAGTGCTTGAGTTTATGTATTTGTATATCTCTGCCCCCACCTCCACTAGAATGTAAATTTCTGGAAAGCAGGGGCTGTGTTGCTTTGTATCCCCACTGCCTTATACCTTGTACCCTGACTGTTATTAGTAACTGCTTGTTGAATTGCATTATTTCATGCCAAGGTACCCTGCCAGGTGCTAAGGACACAAATACCAAGGAAAAAAAGGCATTTATTTTTCTCACATTGGTAAATGATGACAACCTTTCTGAAATTTTGCAGAAGATAAATTGGTGGACAAATATTTTTTAGAAGTTAAATAAATGGAAAAAAAAAAACATTGGCTCAGCTTGAAACACTTCAGGTTTCAATCTGATTTCCCTCTTGGCAGCAACAGAACAATCAATAGCTCAGAAAAGGGGAATCTGATGTTACACAAAGGTTGAAGTTTATGTTTATTCAGTCTGTTCTTGTCCAGTTCACCTCACTTCTCCATCTCCAAATTGGGCAGTCATACCCCAATGTTCATTATGTGAGAGCAACAGTAAAGGGCCACATGTAAGAGCTGGGAAACAGCCTTAGCATGACTCTCGAGGAAAGCATGTTCCATGTGTCAAATGTGTATATGTGTATGTGTGTCTGTATAAACTTTATGAGCTGAGCTTCCCATTTCAAAAAGGAATGGCACCTTAAGTAACAAAATGAAATCTACTATCAAATTCAGTCGGTCTGACAAAATAGCACACCTTAAAATTGAACTTACCCCACATACTTAAAACACTAGATTCCAGTTAGGAAAGGATGGTGAAACAAAGGCATTATCGGTGCTTACCAGTGGCCAATGCCACATTACAGAAAGCATTCCCAACCCCTTTCTTCTCCTAACTCATTCCCAACCCATGATGCAATCAACCCACTACTATATTTACATGAGATTAGGACAGGACAAACAATTTTCTCAATGTCAATGAAATGCCGATTCACAGAAAAGGGTGACTGTTTGCCAAATGTCAACAGTGTTTTTTGCGAAATATCTGCCTTCTCAATGCAGACTGATGTGCGTAGGAATTCATTATCTCTTGTACCCATCTGTTTGAAGGTACATGCCCTGTACAAAGTCTCAAAAAAGAAAATATTTGTTTTCAAATTTCAACAAACCACCCCATTACTGAAGAATAATCAATACAACTAGAAAAGGCAGAGAGATAAAAGTTCCTTTTTTGTTTTGGGCATTTATGATAAAAAAAAAAAAGTTATCGCAGAGAATTTTTGCTGAGTTGTTCTTCAGTTGTGTCTGACTCTTTTGACTCCATTGGGTGGCAAAGGTGGAATTCAAACCCATATCTTCTCACTGGTTGGGGCTTGGGTGCTACACCTGCAAAGATTACCCCTAAGGCCATGAGTAGTGGTTGTAGCAGCTGTAGTAGTTTTCAGCAGAAAACTTCTGATAAGAGTGGCTGCATGCTGAGAGGAAACAAGCCTGGAAAAAATGGGGTTGTGGTTTATACCCCAGTGACATATGAATGAGGAAGCAGCCCAGAAGTTAAATGACCTGCCCAAGGGCACAAAGGTAGCAGGTGGTAGAGGCTGAGGCTGAACACAGGTCTTCCACTCCCGTGTTCTACCTTCCATTCTTTCTATTCCTCCTATGAGTCTCTGTTAAGTGGTTAGGTTATCTGCCCCTCAGAATGAAAATAAATATTTAGGAGATGCTATCTTAGCTCATTGGAACTTCTTCAGCCTATTGATGTACTTCTGGTTTTTCCTGAGACATTTTCCAAGTTCGACATTCAATCTCTGCTTGGTCCTAGGCTACACCTACCTTTGGTCAGTGTCACCCATTCAGGTTTGATACCTTTGCTATTTTTTAAAATTTTATTTTATTTTATTTTATTTGTTTTGGTGAGGCAACTGAGGTTAAGTGACTTGCTGGGGTCACACAGCTAGTACATGTCAAGTGTTTGAGGCCAGATTTCAACTTAGGTCCTCCCTACTCCAGGGCCAGTGCTCTACTCAATACCTTTGCTATCAATGATGATGACTGGTGACACTTATTAATCAAATGATCAAAAAAAGCTTTATAAGGAGGCACTCACAGTAAGGCTGCTGGCATTATTTCATAGCATCGGCTGAGCGACAAGTGTTGGAGGTAGATGAGTTGATGAAGTTCCTGGAAACAGTCAGTCTTCAGCAGGACACTGTCACTAAAAGATGGGGAAGAGAAGACGTCCACAATAATTGTCTCCATCATCCACGAAAACCTTCTGATAGCCATTTCTTCCCTTAACAGTCACCCTTCTCCCTTTTCCCCGAGGTAACTACATCTTTCTTCCACAAATCCATACCTTAAATCTAAGTGGACCAGATTGGGGCACCTTCCCACTAATGTCGTCACATCTAAGAAGGAAAAAAAATATATATATAGGTATTTTTATGGGCAATTTGTTAAACACAAATCCATATCAACTGCCTTTGGGTTCAAAAGGAACCCTTTCTTTCTCAGAAAAAACAGACAATAAAAACAAAAACATCAGAATGTACAGGACAAATTTTAATCAAAATATGTGTTAAAAAAAAAAGTCATACCTTCTGTTTTGAGGTAAGGCAGCCCATTCCCTTTCTCCACCCTCCATAAAATTATTCTCATTTAGAAATTTAGTTATTAAGAACAGTGGAACACTGATTAAACATTTTGTGTCACCCAAATTCCCTCTAATGCCTGTGTAGCAACCATTCTGCAGAAGTATCAAATGGAAAGTTAGTGTTTAGAATTTTGTACAAAACTAGCAAGTAGCTTTGGCTTGCAAAACTCCATAATACTCCTGAACCAGATCAAAATGCAATTGGAAAATGTTTAACAAAATAAATAAGAATACAATATAAATAATGTTAACTTGTGGTTTTCTAAGTCAACAAATAACGCTATTTCTATTCGAGTTTGACACTGCTGATCTAATTCAGCCTCCTCTTCTGAGAGAGAAGGCAAATGACCTGTCCATGTCATTGTAGGTGGTGAAATGCAAAGTCAGCCACTAAAACCCTGGGCTCTTGCCCCTTGCTTCACATGTCCTTAGCCCCCCATCATAATGCAATAGGAGCCTAGAAAGTTCAGTGTAAGGTTTGTTTTTTAAAAATACCTTTCTGTAGAGTAAAACAAATACCTTACACAACACAAAATTTGGAGCACTGCTGTTATGTAACAGCTACTGTTCCCTGATCCTTTGTGTCTCAGCTTTCCTTGGGTGATCAATAACACTTCCCCCTCACCCCAACTTAGGCTATATGGGCCTGCCTGGGCCTCACTCTTTCCTCTTCTATGGCTGCCAAATATTTGGGACCACTATCACCAACTATTCCCGCTGAAATTCATTATGTCCACACATGTTCTAGGTTAACATCTAAGAAGACCTGGCTGGGAGAACCTCTTCTGCCTACTGTTTCTGAAACAATCCAGAACAGGACTTTTCAATATTTTGCCCAGAACTTTTAGTGAGGTCAGTTAACTTCATTCTCTCCTATCAAAGTAATGAAGTGACGAATGAGAGGCCCTGATGAGGACACTGCGTCTCCTTTTAATGAAGTGATGATAATGTACTGTGATTTTTTTTTTTCTGATATGTGGGGCATGGAAGAAATGGGACACTAAGGGGAAGAAGGCTGAACAGATGGGATGGGGGTAATAAAAGATATAAAAGAGGATAACTGTGGACAAGGGAGAAAAATCAAGAAAGGACTTCTTCCTCTAAGCAGATGAAGCAAATTTTCCTATATCTGAATATATACTGGTACGGCATTTGAAAATAAGCGGTAATGCTTTCATGGATGACTGGTGTTAATTCTGATGTGTGTTCTAGTAAAAGATGACCTACCTAAAAGGCTCTGGCTAGGTGTGAGGATGTCAGGAGGGGGAGGGGAAGGTCTCTGGTGCATTTGGCAACTTAACTTTGATCCCTTACAGGTAGTCCCTTCCCAGTTACCTGATCTCTGTAGATTCTGTCTGTACCCACTGAGATTCAATTGTGTCACGCTTTCTGTGATAGAGCTGACGGCAACTTGGATGTGTTCTGCCGAGAAATCAGAGCACCAGGAGAGGTTCAGCTCATCTAAGCTGCATAAAAAGGACAGAAATCATAGTTGGGTCTGAGATAGTGACTGAGAACAGGTTCCACAGGAAAAAACTCTTTGGATGGTGAGCCAGTTCCCAAATCAGCCCAAGTCACCTGACCCTAACTGACCAGAAAGGAGAGATCAGTGTCGCTCAGGGCAATAACTAAAACGTTGTTGTTCAGTCATGGCCAACTCTTTGTGACTCCATTTGGTGTTTTCTTGGCAAAGATACTGAAGTGGTCTGCTATTTCCTTCTCCAGCTCATTTTACAGATGAAGATGAAGCAAACAGGGTTAAGTGACTTGTCCAGGGTCTCACTGCTAGTAAGTGTCTGAGACTGGATTTGAACTCAAGTCTTCCTGACTCCAGGCCCAGCACCCTATCCATTTTGCCACCTAGCTGCCCCAGTACTTGAAATACTGGAGGGGGACAAAACAAAATCTAAATCCAGTGAATTCTTACATATAACAACAAGCTGCTTTTACATACTGGGAAAGATAATTTTATCCTCACTGCTCCCTATTCCCAATGCTTGTTCCCTGGAAAAATGATGGAGGATTTCTGCCGAAGTCCCCACTGAATAATTCCTCCTTCCTTTTCCTACTTCACACACGATTCCAGGAATGGAATCGAACAGGAAATAGGTAATGAGCATGGAATAATGTTTTCTCATAACTGTACTGCTCTAAGGAAAAGATGCTATTAATGGTGAGTTAGTAAAAAGATTTTAAAAAAAGGGAACTCTGCAATGACTACAATAATCTAAAAGAAAATGACACTGACAGGAAGCCAAACTGATTAATTTTAAGACCAGTTTTAGCCTTAGTATATTTGTATGAATACAAGCCCCTCCCTCCTCTCAGTGGGCAGGTCGAGAACCACAGTTGCAAATTGCTACATTCCCTGTGAGACGAAGTCATTGTGCCTGTTCTATAACTGATTTTTTTGAGGGAGGAAGGAGTCAAAAAGGAGGGTTAGATTATAACGTAGGGGAACAGAATGAGAAAGGAATAGAATATGAAAATGGAAGGCATCAATAAAACGTGTTTTTAAATAGGTAAAAAGTAAACCCTGTTTTAAGGAAAAAGACATTTGCAATCTAAGTCCCCTTTTCAAACCTAGGCAAGCATGACTACGTTACATATACTGATGCTATCATTGTTGTTCATAAGTATAAAAATGGCAACATTGCAAAAAGTTACTTATGGAAGTCTGCAGGATATTTGGTATCACCAGGGAACATAGTTTTTTCTGGCACTGCTTCTTAAACCCAGCACCTGAGCTGAGTACTTAGTTTGATGAATTACCTCACTGCCACATAATCCATTTTGAATAGGTTTAGGAGGGTGTATTTTCTATCCTGAAGTCCCACAAAGACTCTTAAGAGACTCATGAGAAAGAGTAATTCTGTGATTATATAAGCTATATATCACATCTTGGTAACATCTATCAAATATCACTGAGACCTGGTAAACACTGGAAAAACTTTTTAAAAAAGAAATCTGAATCACAACAATAAAAATTGAGGTTTACTTTGATGGTATGTAGTGTCTCCCAAGTTTGGCAAAGTCAATCGATTTAAGTGGAAAATTATTGTGGAAAAAAGGCTTAAGTTTGAAATACCGAGTTCTAAATTTCAAATCCACCGTTTTTTCAATCACATGGGCTTGAAACACCCTAACAAGTTTTTTCTTTTTCTTTTTAAATGGATGAAAAAAGAGATGTGACCATTATAAGTTAGCCTGACAACTTCACTACAAAGCAATTCCTACCGAGTACAGCCGCTCAGCAGAGCCCCCAGCGCAGAGGCTGAAAATCCGGAACATCCAGAGAGGTTTAATCGCACTAAGTCTGAATTCTGAGCCAGGTTTCTGAAAGAAAAGCCAGAAATACACAAGACCCATTCAGCATTTACTAAACATGTGTGTGTATGTGTGTGTACATGTATGTATGTTATGGTTAGGAAGTAGGGTAAGGAACCTAAAAATGTGGAAGAACATATATATACCTCAAAAGGCATAACAATCAGTTTGGAAAAACAGAACCTGACATGCATAAAATAACTAGAGAAAAGTTCTAAGGTAACCTAAGTGTAAGATAGCATGGTACAGACCCTATGCTTAAAAGATGAAGAAACTGAAATAAAGAGGATTAGTTGGATAAGATTTCACAAAACAAGCCAATCTTAATCTGGGCCCTGAGAGAAGGGAAGAATATAGATTAATAGGGGAAAAGGAAGGGATGACAGGGCATTAAAGGAGGGAAAAGGCTTGAAAGAGCAAATGAGCAGAAACATTTCAGGATGTGTTAAGATCAGAAGGCAGAGAAGCTCAGGGCTTCAAACTCAAATCAACATCCAGAAACCCACACAAAATCAAGATGGTGTCCAAGGCTGATCTAGATGGAATAAATTCTGCTTTTTTAAGCTTTTCTTTGTTGGAAACAGCAACTTAGGGACACATCAGAAAGGGCACCAGGGCAGGTGAGAATTCCTATGGTTCCCAGAGATTTTCTAAGAGTATTGCCAATGATGAAGATTACCAGCTATCACTTCTGAAGCAATCTGCCGTCCTTCACAACTGCCTAATAAGAGGTGGGCATAAAAAGTCCACTGAATGCCAGGTTCTCTGCTCTGTGTCCACCCCCTTGCCATATCACGTAGCACGCGTAGCAGAGGTGGTAATCACGACCCACCTGACGATGGCATCTGAAAGCCTCAGTCCTTCCAGGCTCAGG